AGTTGATAAGAGTGAAGAAGCCTTCACTCTTGTCTCTATATATACTATCTAACTAGGAGATACGTGGCGATGTTCTATAGGACCTCCAATATGTGTTGACTTTCTAGGACACATGCCTTGACTTACAAGGCAAGTTTTTCTACGTGTGGACCACATAGTTAGCTTGATCTTCAAGTTAACAACATGTGTGGCACATGACCAACTTGTTGACCACGTTTCTAATCCAAAAAGTCAATTAAAGATACCTATGAAGTCAAAGCAGCGTCTAGGAAGTTTCTAAGAAGCTTCCATATTAAATATTATAGAATTAACTTACTTTTATCTACTTTTACTTACTTCTACCTATTTCTATATGTAATTATTAGCTTACATGATTATGGCCGTGACAATATATCTTAAATAAATCTCAACCAAGTCCTAATTTAATCATAGTTGAAATCTTAATGGATTTCAATCAAATTCTAAGCCAAATTTTAAATCCTAAGCAAATCCTTAATCCTAAATCCTAAACAAATCCTAAATCTTAAATCCTAAGTAAATCCTAAATCCTAAATCCTAAATTAAATCCCAAATTCTAAAAAAATTCTAAATCCTAAACAAGCCCTAATCAAATCCTATATTCTAATCCAATCCTAATTCTAAACCAAACCTTAATAAAAATCTAATCAAATCAATATAATCCTAGTACAATTTAGAACCTCAATATCTATTGATTAAATCATTGATCTTGCTTAAACTTTTACAGACTTCTTAATAACTAAATTGGCAATAATTACACAAAACTTTAAGAGAATCAAACTTACTTAATAGAAGAAAAATATCAAAATTTTCTTGGGTGTTAACTAGCCTCCTTCTTCAACCTTGATGTTGGTTTTCTAGTGCCAATATCTTTTTTTCACACCATTCAACTGTTTTCAAAATTCATGTATATATAGAAAATTAAGTCTATTATCTTTATATGTAAATTTCACTCCAATCCAACTAGTGGATTGTTGAAGATCTTAAAAACCCTAATTACTCTATAAGTCTAATTTTTGAGATCTCAACCTACTTGAAATTCAATAGCCTTCAAATCAATTGTTTGATCAAGCTCAAACTTACAACATAGACTTTAAACAACTATTCTCATAAGTTCTCAAAATTTCATCAATAGATCTACTACCAAACTCACGAAATGTTCCAAAACATAATACCTTTCTTATTTCAAAAATTTCAGAGTTACCTAAAACAACTATGACTTTGCAAAACTCTTACAAAGTCATTATATACTCAAATCACTTAGAATTAATGCTTCAAAAAATCTTATTAATTTTGTTCTTAAATCTCATTCTTTGATTTCCAAAAGAACTCCAAAATTGCCATAGGTACCTAATTTTGTGCCTCAAGGTCTAATTTCAACTCATGTTGATAATCAGTCCTCTCTAGGTATCAAATTTTGCCTTTTTGAATTAATTTTTATTAAAATAAACTTCTAACTTCTTCTTATATATGCTTATATTTTTTATTTTTTTAATATACCTTATTTTGCCTTATTGGTGTCTAAAGTAGATAGAAGCCTATTTTATAAAAAAGTAGCTTTTAAACCTTTAGTTTTATTTTTTTTTGAACTATTTTCTATTTTCTTAGATAATTTGCTATAATTTTTTAAGTAAAATCTTCTATAATATAATAATTTCTTCACCTTTTTTACCTATTAGTTCTATTACATCACAACATTGTCTTCTTGGATATACAAGCTTCAAGAAATAATTATATTATACATTGAATTGCTCTAAGTCTTGCATCACCATAAAAACTTGTAAAGAATCTCTCAATTCTAGGAGTTCTATGACATAAAGCATTTAGTCTATTTCTAATAGTATCTAATTTGGACTCAATATATCCAACTATATTAACATCTTCACCTCCAGCCATCTTAAAAGAGAAAACAAGAAGTTAAATATAAGAGTTTTAACAAAAAAGCTAGCATAAATTTAATTAAACAAGATGAATACAAAATCAATATTAAGAGAGGTGAGCTAGAGCTCCAAAAAATATATTATTAAGACTGAAGATCCTTTTAGCCTTGACTCTAATATATACTAGATACTAAAAGTTTCTTGAGAAGCTTCTCAAGAAATTTCCATATTATTTAGAGATAAAACAATCTTCTTAGACAACTTCTTTAATCCTTCTAAAACTTTCTAGAATCTACTAGAATATTTTAAGAATCTTCTAAAACCTTCTAAAATATTCTAAAAAGCTTTTTAGAATCTTCTATTAGAATGTTTTAAGAATATTTCTAAAATCTTCTTGTTAGATGTTTGTAATATCAATTATATTTCTATCCTATTTTTTTTACTATATTATCATCTTTTCATATTGCAATATTTGTTGAAAATTGCTAAGGTCATCTAAGATATTCATAATCTCTTATATAAATGATACATCAATTTTCATCCAAAAAAAATTTAAAAATACCTAAAGTAGATAAATATCATTTATGGAAGAGAATTTTTCATTCAAATATTTTTGAAGATAGATTAATTTTGAATTATGTAAAGAATAAGGAATTACTATTTGATATAACTTCTGAAGAGAGAAATAAGATCCTACAATGAACCAAATAATTTAAATGGAAGGAAGTTCATTTACTTAAGTAGATTATAGATAGAAGAAAATGTATAGTACCAAAGCCACAAAAACGTAAAAAGTTTGTACTTCACATCTATGTAGAATTGGTACATTTTAGAGTTAAGGAAACTTATAGTCCTCCACAAAGTTAATATTAGGGATTGGTAGGCAAATAAAGATACAACATGTTGTTTTTAGGTGCCAAGTATATAATAGGATCTCTGCTTTATTTAATGCATTAATACATATTTTACAACCTTAAAGTATTATGAACTTAAGAAGGACTATAATACATATTTTACAACCTTTAAGTATTATGAACAAATCACTTTAGGAATTGTGCTTCTAGTCATTTGCCAAATGGAAATAGTACTATGAATCTCAATTTGAATGTGATTTTAGCTAGCTTGAAGTACATATTATGTAGAAGAGCTCAAGGAGTTGCTACAATGATTCTATGTGATGTTTGTTCAAGGTTGGCATATGAGGTGTTTGACACCATCTTTGGATGAAATTTCTATTAGTAGATGGGTTTGTCCAAGATGCAAGACAAGATCTAGAAGAAGTTAACAAGCTAATAGAAGCTACCACAACTAACATTATACAACTCTCTAGTTGGATTAATATTGATTGGCTTTCACCATCATTAGAGGGGCTTCATTAATGGCATAGGGTGCAAGTAAAGAAGGCCTAATTGGCATTGGCTTTGTTGAAAATCTATGTGTATTTGGAGCTACTTCTATTTTTTTGTATTAACAGTGTTTGTGTGTGATTGTTCCACCTATTTTGTAATTGTCATAGGTGTTGATCTACAACTCATACTAAGTGTGGATTAGTGATGTATAGTGTATTTATCAACAACACCACTTACAAATTGAAGATATATATATTTATTATTTCAAATATGTTAGTGCATACATAGTTTATGTAGATTCCAAACCATACAATGTAATATAAACATAATGTATTGGTGTATAATAGTCTACACAACTCTCTCAAGAGATGGTGTCAACGTTCAATATTCTCAATAGTATGCTTAGAAATAAAATAATGAGATATTTGCTATACTTCTAAAAGACCAAAAATAGGATTTTTAAAATAAAAAACATTATATTAAGAACACTTTGTTGGATTGGAAAATACTTCTAAGTTGTTTATGAAATAATGATGAAATTATATTATGGATTAATTTCATCTTTTGTATAGCTAACATGTATTGATATATTTTATATTATAAACAATAATAAATCTCCTACTTGTTTGGTATAAATCTTCTGGATATGATATATAATAACAGTAATGCACAACAATTATAGATTCTTTTTTTAGTTAAATATTAGGAATCCAATGTTTAATAAAAAAAATATAAAACTTTAAAATAAAATAAAATAAAATAAAATAATTTTTCTATAAATAAAAATTAAACAATGATATGTAGAAGAGAATAAACAAATTCAAGAATGACCATTACTAGTAGTTCTTTGTTGTGATTACATGGTTTCTTTTATCATTACTATTTTTGACTCCGAGATTATTTGGTAAATAAGTATTAGTGATATGATATAGAAAAATAAAAACCAAAAAATAAGTCTATATATATATATATATATATATAAAATTAAAAAGATCCAATTTTTAAAACATTTTCATTACAAAACCTATTATTTTGCATGAACAAAGTTTGAACCAATTTCTATAATTTGTACTTGTACAACAGAATTTGGAAAAAGTGAATTAAACTCTAGTAACATTATTAACTAGTACCTCTAATTTCCATCAAAAATTTGTGTGTTACATATTTTAGCTAGTAAAAATCTATGCAAGTACAGAAACCTCTAAATATCTGAAAGAGACATCCAAATATATAAATACATAGACATTTGGTGTATCCTTCATGTTAAATACAAGATTGAATGCTCAAAGAGATTCAAAAGTTATGGAAAGCTTATTACAATAGTATTTCTGGATTCAGTGCATAAAGTATTAAGATGAATACTACAGTTTTATACACTTTATAATAAGAATTCGGTTCTTTGAGTAATTTGTTTCCCACGCACAAGTAATTAGTAAACACATCAATTAAATATAGAACCCACACATGACGGCAAGATATACAACAAAAGTAAATAGGATAGTAACAAGAGGTGGAATGGTGACCTCAATTTTCCATATCGAATTCAGAAGGTTCAGTTTGTTCTCTACTGCAAAGTGACTGAATTTGTTGCATGTACGATCCTTCAACATATTGAGTAAACAACAGACAGCATTCGTCTCCATTCCGACTGACAACACACAGCCGGCTCCCGATCATATACAGTTGCTAGCAAGTCCGTAGCATACATAAATTGGATGTATGGAACCAAAAGTTATACCACAAATCAAAACCATTATAAAAGAAATAGAAAAGATTTTTATTTGTAGAGTTTCGAAGACAGAAATCACACAACATGGCACATATGAGACATTTGCCCATAAGATTATCTAGGTAGAACATGATTCTAATCGCCATGATTAACCTTCAACCTTTTTCGAGGAAATCTGATGCATTACATCGGGAAGCTTGCGTCACGGCAGCCCAACATTTTACAGCTATTTATGCTGAAGCCAGCGAACCCGGCTTCTCATAAAATGGTTCGAGAGGAAAATCAGGACGGCGTTGGAGCCTGACAACATAAGTTCAAAGAGTACATAAATGCTTACAATGTATATTGATAGAGTAAGCACGAATGTTCATCAAAGATTTTTGAAACACAAAATTTTGCGAGAGATCACTTACCAGTTGGTCTCAGGATAGAAGGTACCATCAGTCTCTATAACATGAATACTATATGCGGGTCGTTGTTTGGATGATTTATTCTCATAGCTGCGATCACGACAAACAACTCATCAGCTTTACTAATAAAATAAAACTGAGAAACCACCCTAAAATTAAGTGCATTAACAGCTGGAAAATATCAAAACATCACTTACAGTGCTCTGCTACAGACACAAGTTATCCAGAGACCGAGTTGAATCATAGAATTCAAATATTACAGAGTATCTAAAACCTACATGAGCACCCAACCACCCAAAATGATACAGATAGAAGACCCAGGCTGGTACCTTTGGTGTACAAGGTCTCCATGAAGGAGAATCAGTGAACCAGCCTTCATTTCCACCGGGATAAAGGTTGACATATCGTATTCAGGCTGTGGTACATCATACCTGACCGAATCTCCTTCTTTTAAAAATTTCCTTTTCAAGCCCTCTGGCAAAGCAATGACACAATCTCATTAGCATACTTTTCAATGATCTCATCGTTGGTAACTATGCATAACTCAGATGTGTAAGATGTTCATTTGCGAATTACACAATCACGAAAGTCATCAAACCTCAACCTTCTAAACTTTGAAATATGTTACAATCTTACGTTTGTGAGATTTGGGAACTACCCAGAGACAACCGTTTTCTTTCGTGGCATCTTCAAGTGCCCACCAATAGCCCAGGACTGATGGCGGGTCGGTGCACATGAAGGTATTGTCCTGATGCGGCACAACTTCTCCGCCTATTCCTGGTTGCTGCGCAAAAACACATGATTAAGGCCATTAGCTAACTAGAAATCATCAACCGCAAGATGTTGCCAGTAAGTTTCATGCATCAAATCGGATCAGGATCTACTCAGACATCGTACCTTGAAAATGTACATAGATTGAATGGGCGCAGGTCTCCTGTACCCAAGTGAGGCTGCTATGGCCGATACTTTTGCTGACCTTGAAAACTTGCGGAATTCAGGGTCCAGATCATGCATTGCTGCATACACCAAACAAGCGACATCTTAAAATTACGAGAACAGGTTGAAATAAAAAAATTGAGTCAGCACAACACTGGAGAAAAGAGAGGATCCCAGTTGAACTAGAGAGCAAATGATACAAGAGGCCTTACCATGACCTACTTTATTGATAGACAATTCCTTCGGCTGCTTCAAATTCCTGTTCTCGTCAAATGCTCTCTCTGTACAGAAAATTCAAGAAAAAATCACATTCGTTTTTTCGAAATTGCAAGATGAATTCGAGCTCATTTCCCTGACATAAAAGTACACCAAAAATCAATCTTCCCAGCGATGCAACACCTCCAACCCTTGAGTGAATCACTCCGACTGCAAGTTCATAGAATCATTGCGCTCACCTTCAAAAAAGAAAGAGATATTATTTGCACTATTGTAGAAATATGAATCCATGTTTGCCTTCTGCATACATACAATCAGCAAAATCAGCTTCGTCTTCGACATCAGGTATTCTCTTTGCGGAGCACCTAAATCTCGTGAACATTCTGACCAAGCATAATGCAGCAACGGTCAAGAACAAGCTAAACATTAAATGACACAACCCAAGAGCTCTCCTGTTTATTACGAACCTGATTCGTAGTAGAGAAGATGGAGAAGGTGGTAGGGTCGAAGTCCCTAAGAAGCTCATCCATCCTCTTAATCAAGGTAGTACATTCTGATGGCGAGGCATAATCAGGTATCACCAAATACCCTACACATCCCAAAACCACCGCAAATACGTCAACTTCAGCCCTACATCCAAGGTCCTTTTGAGCAATTCATGGCAAATTCATACCTCCAAATCTGGCCTTCAGAAACTATGCAAAACATACGTTTAAATGCTCGAAATCCGCTTCGATCCCATCAATTCACCAGCATCCCATCACATGATCATATCCGAGCATCGCAAAGTGGACACGACCCCGAATTCCTATGAGGATCGGACACTGGTCAAACCCTGACCCAGAAACAAAGAGAACGCGAAAAGACAGAACCCACCTTCAGATTCGTAGAAATCTTTCTGCGCCTGGCTTAACCCCTGCTCCACGCCCATCGTTGCTGCTTGCGACCTCCAAGTGAGTCGAAATTCAGAGTACCCAACGGCTTGGCAGGGCAAAATGCGGAGCCTTAAGGGGCAATGCTACTGTGGCCCAGGACAAGACCAGACCAGAAGAGAAGCTTCTCAACGAGGAAAAGGAAACAAGGCAACTGGTGCACGTCTGTCCAGTCAGCATGTGACGGGGCACCTCATTTAGAAGTGAGTTGGATGCTCATCCTCTGTGGACCAAGAATCAACCCTAGAGCATGCATTGGATGGACGAATATTTGAAATGAATGTTCATTCAAATGAAGGATTTGGATAGGATTGAAATTATTTTAACATGCTTGTTTAATTCGATAGTTCAAAAGTGATCACAAAGGTTCAAGGTAGTCCAAGAGAGGTTGCAATGTTTTAAAGCATTGTGACTTGGTTTGATATTCAATCCATAAGAAATATTAAAACCAATGCCATTAGATAGATTTTAACTTATAATGTCATTGTTGATGGAATGTACTTTCTCTAAGTAAAAAAAAACTCCAATTGGTGTTCTCTTCTTAAAGTATTAATAAATTTACAATAATAATAATAATAATAATAATTGATATTATTTTCTTAAAGTATTAATAAATTCACAAAAAAAAAAAAAAACAAAAAACAAAAAACAAAAACAAAAAAAACAAAAATTCTTTTAAATTATTACATACTTGTTATCTCCAAGGTTAAATACAATTGATACACAATACATTGGAGGCAAAACCTCTTTCTTAACTTGATTGGTTTTAAAAATGAAAGTAAGTGGAACTATATTTTTTAGAGCAAGATCTTTTTAATTGATGGTCTTATAAAATAATATAGTTATTTCTATGCTTTAGAAATTTGGATTCTTCAATATATATATAATAATAGAAAAATAAAAAAACAAGATTATATCTTAATTTAAAGATATTTTTAATTTAATAAAATATTCTATATATATATATATATATATATATATATACACAATAAAATTATGTATATTCAATGAAACCACTCAAAATGATGCAAAATTATTAATAAAAAATTTAAACTATTAAAATTTGAAATTATTTTATACATGAAAGTAGTATTATTTTACTTCATCAAAGCTTTACACAATGTCTATATGTTGAAGCACAATATCATATTATGTGTTGTCTTGTTGGAGAATGCACTAAATACTTGGCTATAGAAAGTACATTAGTATGTTACAATTAATAAAGACTCTAATAATACTAATAAAATTCTAAATAAATCTCAATTGAATCTTAATAAATCTTATTAAACCTTAATCAAATCTTAAAGAAGTCTTATAAAAATCCTAAAAGAGTCATATAGGATTTGGATGAATTATTATACATAATTTGAATGGATTATTATATATAATTAGAATGAATGCTTAAAATTCCATAGCAATTTTAAAACCAAAATAATTATTAATTAAACCATTGATCTTGTTTTAAAATTTGCACATACTTCAATCTATTAATGTCGAGGACATAAACTTGAAGAAGATGCATAAATTTGTGGAATCTCTATTAAAAAGAAAGTGACAAAATAGAAGAGAGTATATATATATATATTCAAGAAAGAACTGAAATGGCTATTGCGAAAGACTAGAAAACATAAGACTTTTGAAACTAAACTAAAAGTAAGAAAAGAATTGACAAGAGTGAAGAAGGCCTCACTCTTGCTTCTATATATATTACTTAACTAAAAAATACATGGCAACATATTATAGGACCTCTAATATGCGTCCAACTTGTAGAATACATGTCTAATTTGCAAAACAAGTTTCCTAGGTGTATGCCATAGGTCCAACTTGTACTACAAGTAGTCAACTTATCAACATGTGGCCTCCTTGTTGGCCAAGTTTTCAACCTATCAATCACCTATAGACATGTATAAAGGCAAAGCAGTATTTATGAAGCTTCTAGGAAGCTTTTTATAAGATAATATCATATTTATTTATTTTGACTTGCTTCTATCTATTCTTATTATCTAGATAATTATCAAGATAAATATATATGTCCATGACATTATCCCCCTTTCTAAAGATGAATTCCATGAGGAGCGATGATTACATATTGATGAAATTCAAGATGCGCCAAATTGTATTTATTACGTACTTTGATCTTTGTTTCCTTCAAAGGTAGTTGATAGGTCCCTTCAACCATTGATAATGTTTCATACCGAGGCGAGAAGACCACCTCCATATTTCATCATTATTAAGGCCTTTATAACTTCTTTCAAACAAAACATCAGAAGTGGCTCCTACCTCCGAAAGTATCACTAAACACTGGGAGTTCCTTCTAAGGTCGTGGTACCAAATGCGTTGTATCTTGCCATCTATTCTTGAGGGTCTTCATCTCAATTTTGGCATCTCGAAGATTATAATAGTTGCAATGTCTCATCTAGTAGCTCAACAAATGATAGCTCTTGAATTGAATCTGTTGGTTGTTGATTCTCCATCTCCTGAGCACTAAATAATGATATAAGATAGAATGAAATCTCCATTGGGCTTGCTTTGCTTTATAGCAAAGAATTTCTCGACTCTTCATCTTAGTTTTGATGGATGTTGTTCATAAAATACTTTAACTTTGGCTAATTTATTTGCTAGATTCTTGGATGGCTCTCATGTACATTCATTAATATCATATCCATGCCAATGTACTAGATATTCTAACCTATTTTGGCGCCACCTTAAATCTAAGACTTCTTCCACCTCAAATTCTTCATTATTGTCTACTTCTATAGGAGGTGGTGGCATTTGTCTCTTTCATTGTGTATTCATTGTCTTATATGGCTCAAGTAAAGATACATGGAACACATGATGAATTTTCATAAACTCCAATAAGTGTAATCAATAAGCAATTAGATTGATCTGTTCATAAATGAAAAATGGTCCAAGCCTATGATAATTCAGCTTGTCGTAAGGATGAATAATTTTAATATTATGACAAAGTAACCATACCTTATCTCCTACATGGAATTGAGATTATTCCTTGAGATAGACATCTCTGTTGGCTTTTTGTCGTTCTTGAGCTTCTTTTAATTGTGCCTTTATTATTACACGTAGCTCTGACAATTGATTTGCCACATCTTCTGTCATAGGATTATCAACTTTTGAAAAGTCAAAAGTGTCAAATTATGGATGATAGCCATAATTGGCAAAAAAGATGTTTGTTCAGTAGAAGAATATACCGAATTATTGTAAGCAAACTCTGTCAATGGCAAAAGAGTTGTCCAATCATCTTATTGATAGTTGATGGTACACCGCAAATACTGCTTTAAAACTTGATTTACCTATTTTGTTTGTCTATCAATTTGAGGGTGAAAAGCCAAAGATAGTTTTATATCTACCTTCAATATCTTGAAAAGAGTTCTCTAAAATCTCGATAAAAATTGTGTTCCTCTATCTTATATAATATCCCTTGATAATCTATAATAGCAATAGATGTTTTCAAGGAAGAGTTTAATTATTCTTTCACATGTCATAGATTTAGTACATGGTATAAAATGTACCATCTTGGTGAAACGATCTACAATCACAGATATGGAATCATATGAACTTGAAATTGGAAGATCCATGATAAAATCTATAGAGACAAAAGACCATAGTTGTTCTAGTATAGGTAATAGTTGGAGGAATCCATAAAATTGATGATGAAGAGTTTTTGATCTTGAACAAACATCACATGTCTACACAAATTCTTTAATAGCCTTCTACATTTGAGGCCACCAAAAATCTCTAGATATAAGCTCCAAAGTCTTATTATATCCAAAATATCCTACTGTAGGAAAATTGTGATGAACTTCAAGAGCATATAATCATGCTTCTCTTTCTGAAATATATAAGCATCTTTTAAAATAGAGTAGGTCCTCCTTAAACTCAAACTTAGAAGTATCTTGAGACTTAGAGGAATTGTTTTTAATATCATGAACAAGAAGGTTTGAGGACATACTTACTTAGATCTGCTTGAAAAAAGTCAAATCAATAGTCAATGTTGATTTCATTGCTTGGAGATGAAATTATTTTGGCTTCAATAAAATTATCTTTTGTTGATCAAAAGCCACTTTTCTTCTTTTTGGTGTAAAATAAGAGCGTCTAAAAAGAGCATAATAGAAACCTTGTTGTTTTTCTAGCCGATAAGTGATATTGAACTCAAATCTTGACAAAGACATGCTCCAACAAGCTTGGTGATGATTCAAAACACGTGCTGACATGAAATATTTGAGGTTCTTGTGATCCATATATATAGTGACTAGACTTAAAGTGCCTTCTAAATAATGATGCCATTCTTGAAAAGAATCCATGATTGCAACAAGTTCTTTGTTGTGGATCTCATAATTAATCTCGACTGCTGAAAATTTTCTTGAATAAAAAGCTACTGAATGAAGGTTGTCATCTACTCCTATTTATGATAAGTTTGCATCCAAAGCAAAGTCAGATGCATTTATCTCCATATAAAATGCTTTGAAGAAGTCAACGCAATACCAGATTAGTATAGAAGTAAAAACTTTCTTCAAAGCTTCAAATGATGCTTCTACTTCTTTACTCCACTTGAGCTTGTCTTTACAAGTTAAGTGTGTAAGTGGCATTGCAACTTGAAAAAAGTTCTTGATGAAGATCCGATAGTTATTGAAAAATCTCAAAAAGTATTATACATCTTTTATTATTTTTTGAATCTTTCAGTCCATGATTGTATGAACTTTTTTAAGATCCATCATTAGATTATTGTTTGAAATGATATATTCTAAGAAGTCAACTTGAGTAGTGTGGAATACACACTTTTCCATCTTGGCATATAATCTCACATCTCTAAGTTTTCGTAACACATGACGAACATAAACTTCATATTTTTTTGCATTCTTAGAGTAGATTAAAATGTCATCTAAGTAAGAGATAACAAAACCATTTAGAAACTCACAAAAAATATCATTCATAAGATGTTGAAAAGCAACTCGTATATTCGTGAGTCCAAAAGGCATGACATTATATTCAAAGTATCCATACCTTGTTCAAAATGCAATCTTTTATTCATCTTGTTCTTTGATGCAGACCAGATTGTACACTCTTTGTAGATCTATCTTTGTATAGATCTTAGCT